GGTCATTGCCCTCCCGACTACAATCCCAGAGTGGAACAAACAAAACAAGCAGTGGGTACAGGTCTAGGTTTGTCTGCAAACCTACATGAGACTCCTGAAAGACATTAGCTGTGAAATTAACCTTGACCTAATTTCTACTTCCAAAAACAGAGTTTGCAAGGAGCCAAGTACCAAAAAGAAGCAAAATCTCCCTCTGCACCCCCCTGGTAATTGCTCCTGACAGGATTCCAGTCTGCCTACTTTGAGGTGTCCAGCGTAGTAGCCACATGGGTGTTCCATCCAGACAAGGGCAGAGAAGGTCCCTGGTATGGGTTTTCCCCACTGTCAGGGAAGGTCAAGCGATCAGCCTTAAGCTCCCCAGCACAACTGTTGACCAGTTGATTCTCTCAGAGAGGGCAAGGAGCAAAAGGGGCCTAGTTCCAAAGCCCACGGGCAGGGTCTGGCAGCGTATCCTCTATCCCCTGAAGATGGCCTCAGGAAAACACAGCTTTGGGGAAAAAACCTCCAAAGACAATTCTTCCTAAGGATCTCACAAGGGACTCCTAACCCACTGTAAGAGTATCTTTCTTCATTCCAGACACAGGAACCTTGAATCACATGATAAAAGGGTTCCCAAAACACAGGGTCAATTAATTTTGCCTTTTAAAAGCTCACCGTATTTCAAATGTCCACATAACTCTTCGAGTAACACAAACACCTACTACTCTTCTAGCTGTTCCTTTGGAACAGGTTTGCTTAAAGGAGCCCCCCAAATTCACGTACATCTTCCTCACCCAGCGTCTCCCCAGTGCAGGCCCTCCCGTGCCTCTGTCCTTGTCTCCAGCCCCACGGAGCAGCCAATGCCAGGGCACAGAAAGTCAGCTCCAGAGCCTGCCCTCTTCCTGTGAGCCCAGGAGCCAGGCCGTGGGAGGCGACAGCAGGGTGGGGAGGAGGACAAAGGGATTGGCCCCTATAAGAGAGAATGTTACACACAGAAATGCATCTGCTGCAGCTTGAGAACGATCTCAAAGTTTAAAAGATAACTGATCCAGGCCAGGGGAGTGGTGTTGTGCCTGCTCCAGCCCCCGCTCCCCCTGAGTCCTGACTGCTGGAGGCGGCCAGCCATCTGCGACACTCTGACCAGTATAAGCTAAAGGACACCAAATGGTTCCATCACCACACCCTTGTGGAGATCAAGGAACTCCCACCCTGGGCGCTCCCCTACCACTTGCCCAGACTGTAAAAGGAACTCAGAAACACCGCCTTTTCCCTGCACCTCTGTGGGATCACAAGATGCTGGAGGGAACCTGCCTGCAAGGTCTGTTTTGAGCCTTTTGTTCAGTCTTGGTGATCAGCAACTCCAGCCCCAAAAAGAAGCCCCCTGTCAGCAACTCCGCTGCCGGTGTTTAGGCAGTGGCGGATTATGTCCCACCACCTAGCCCCAAGTCTAAGAGTTTACACCTTGTAGAGAGCCCCCAAAGCATTTTTGTTAATAGCAGGCTCATGGAAGGTAGAGGTCTTGGGGGAGAGCTGCTGTGTCAGGTGGCAAGGTCAGAAGGCAAGCAAGCCCCTTCCCCCACAGACTTGGAAGGAAGCAAATACCTCACAGACGGAGCCAGAAAGCGACAGACCACTCAACCAACCAACGTGTTCCTTTACAGATGAAGGAACGGGGTCCAAAGGGCAAGGAGCTTATTTCCAGTCAGCTGTCTACCAGGTTTTCCATCTTGGGTTTCTGGGGAGAAGCCCCAGTCTACTTTCTCACGTCCCACCAGCTTCAGCATGAAACTGCTTTCAGAACCTACGCTCCTCACTCTTGATCTGAAAGAACCTGGCAGTCACTCTCCACCCTCTGAGTGACGGGTGACCCCCCACCCTAACATATGAGCCTCCCCCTGCTGGCCTGACCTACACGGGGGTCTATGTTTGAACCCAACACCCACCCACCACAGACCCCAAGCCCTTTCATGTACCCTCGAAGCTCTAATCTAACCCCTGACTTGGGCCAGCTGAGCAGAGTCTGGAACACTAATCTGAGTTTTTCGTTAAGCACAGCTTTAGTGCTGCCCCGAAGCACTCAGAAAAGGCTCTTCACACTTTAGGTCACCTTCACCAATGGGCAGAAAAGCACGGTTTGTAATATCATGTAGTCTTCTCAAAGCACTGGGTACTAAAACCAGTTCAATTTGCAAATTGATTAAACAGGCCCCTAACTGACACTACTGATTTGAAACATGAAACACCTTTGCAAGCCGTTCCTGGTGCATTTGAGACCAAGCCAACTTCTTAAAAACCTACTTTCCCCACATTGTGGTCAGGTTCTTTCTCTGGGAAGGCCACATTCATGCCAACAAGGACAGAACGAGTAGGAGATGTTTCTCCCGTACAACCAGAAGACCTGAAGCAGCCCAGCTTTTCTACCCATTCCCCCCAGATTGGGACTTAGTGGAAGGCTAACAGCAAAGCTCAAAACTCCATGCTACCTACACCACCCTAAGGAGGGGTGGGTGGTCTCAGATTAAAAGTTCTTCAAGAAGATGCTACCCTAGCATCACCAAGCTCCAGGACAGAGTCAGCACCTGCTAGTGACCAAGCTGGGAAGACAAAAGCTAACCGCTGGAGGTAAGTGGGGGTGCTTGGGCCTGTCCTCTTTCCTTCAGGAACGATCTCTTTCTGGTTCAGACCCCACTGGGTGTGTATGGGGAAAGGGACAAGAACAGCGTTCTCCTGTATCTATTTTGTTCTAGGTAAAAGTCACTTCTTGCCCATGCCTCACATACCTGATGAAGGAGGTAGCAGGCACAAGGCCGGTTGGGCTGCTGGGGCCACTTACCAGCGGGGGCTGCGGCTGGGGGTGCTGCCCTGCTCCCGAGGGGGGCGGGTAGTGCATGAGCAGATTGAAGGCAGAGTAGACGGTGTCTTTGTACATGCCGCTGGTGCACTCCGGGGCCTTCAGGCCTGGAAAAACCACAGCTGGTCAGAAGCGCCAGCCCAGGGCGGCTGGGGCTGAAGGCTGTCTGCTCGATCAAGAGAAGATCAGAACTGCCAAGGTGTCCCCTTCAAGTTCCTGACTTGAAGGGCTGGGGCGGGGGGGTCCCCGCAGTGCCAAGGTTTGACGACGGACCCAGATTTCGGGCCTCCCTTCCTCGACCCCAACTCTGCCCTCCGGCCAAGGAACCTTGGCCAGAGCGTCCTCCTCAAGACGGGGGATTAGTCAAGTCACCTGGACAGGAGGGGAGGCGGAGATGGCGGGGGTCTGTTTACTCCTATAAAGGTCAGGGCACCGGAAGTGACTCGAGCCTGGCGGCACCTCCGCTTTACCGCCTCCCCGAGCTGCCGTGGGGGGCGGGGAGAGACACCCCCTCGGCTCCCTCCCGTACTCGGCAGCCCGGCTCTCCCACCGAGGCCGGGCCTTAGCGGGAGGAGGGGGAGCTGGGCTGGGCAGAAACTCACCGTCTTCCAGAGACTCTGGAAGTTTGTCGGGAAAAAGTCTCTGCGAAGTGTGTTCCCGCCCGAGAGCCTGCGGGGAGATCCAAAGGGGCCTTGAGAGGGCTGGGAAAGCTGGGGGCTCGGGGCCCGGGACGGGAGGGGTCTGAGGGATGGGGACCCCTGAGAGCCGCGGGAGGGAGGGGCGGGGCAGCGCGAGCCGAGCGCCAGGGGCGATGGAGCGAGGCGGCTTAGGGGGAGCAACGGGGCGAGGGCCAGAGCTCACCTCCGCCCCGACCTCGGCCTCGCCGTGGGCACCGGCGCCCGCCCCCGGGACCCCCGCGTCGCCGGCCGCGCCCTCGGACTCATTGACGAGCGACGACTTGAGCTCAGCCAGGTCGCGCTCGGGGCCCGCGGCGCTGTCGCGGCTCTTGTCGTCCTGCTCCTCGCCCTCGTCCTGGAAGGCCAGCAGCTCGTCGGGCGCGCCGAGGTCGTCGCCGCCGCCCGCGCCACCCCCGCCCGAGTCCAGCTGCGGCATGGTGCGCTCAGCCTGCGGGGTCTCGGGGCTCGGGGGTGCGGGGCGCGGAGCCGGCCCGGGAGGCGGCGAGCCCGGAGTCCGGACCTCCGAGCCCGGATCGCGGCGGGCGGAGCGCGGGGTGACTCCGCCTGGGCGGGCTGCGGGCGCGGGGCGCGGGGCGCGGGCGCCGGGTTGAGAGGCTCCGGGAGCTGGCGGGTCAGAACATCAAAGGCGCCGCCGGCGGAGTGCCGGGGGCGGGGCGGGGACGCCGGGGGCGGGCCCGGTCGGGGGGCGGAGCCAAAGCGCCCCGCCCCTCCTCTCCTGGGAGAGGCCGGGACGCGCCCAGTGGGCATAGTCTTAAAGGGCTCGCTCTCCCAGCCCTGGGATGGTGCGTCGGAGGAGCCTGAAAAGCATCACCCTTCTGAAATGCGGGAAATCTAAAGGGGGTTCTTAACCCCGATTCCTCACCTACAACAAGGGATTCCTTTCCTGCACCCAGGTTTCTCCCTCAGCTGTGGAGTGCTCAGGTCCCCTAGGGAGCCAAGGTGTGAACAGTGTCTGTGCCTGGGCTCAGTATAGTATGTCCTGGGCTTGGAACTGGGGTCTTCCTTGAGCTTAAGGGCTTCCCGAGGCTATGATCGAACACCGGGCCGGCAGAGTTAGGATTCCTCAAAACTCCATTCTCTGGATGCATCTTCCAGCCCTCTGCCAATCCGGGACCTCCTTCCAGGTCGCCCTCACGCAGCGTAAGCACAGGCATTATACACTCTCACACATGTATTGAGTGCCTCTTGTATGAAGGACTCCTACACCGCATAACTGTGACGGGCCTCTCAGCCACGTGGCGGCTCAGAGGTGCGAACGCAGCCAAGAGGGCAAGAAAGAAGTATCTCTCCAGGGCCCATGCCAATCCTCCAGACCCGACTCACCCCCCACAACAACTCGTCCAACTGAGTTCCATGCCCGGAACCTGTGGCCCGGCCCGGGAGGCGAGGCTTTGGGCAGCTCCGTGGGCTGCTGGATTGTGATGAGGGGTTGGTGGTCCCAAGCAACTTAACCAGGAAGTCCCATTCGCGCAGAGTCCATTGACTCCAAGCCTGGCGCAGGCCGTCCCTCGCAAGATCTAGGCTTCAGGGTCTACACGCGGAGAAGCGCCGGAACGTGGAACGTGAGCCAACTTCCTTCCGAACTACCAGGCCCCCTGGGTCATGTCCATGCGGGCCTCCTCAGCATGCTTGACTTCAGCTCAGACACTGTATCTAGGCAAGAAACAGGCCCTTTAGAATCGCGGTGCAGTAAACCGCAGACCAGGCAGATTTCCGTGCTGGATTCAGTGTTGACCTTCCCACGTCTCCCGAAAGCAACTGGTGCAGAGGGTATTTAGGAGGAGAGAGCGTCTTGGACGCTTGTCCGGTTCAGAGTCCCACAGGACTCCTGCAGCGGCGCAAAGCCTGGCCGGAAGAGGGCCGAGCCGCCCCTGCGGGTCCAGGGCCAGCCGGGCTGGCTGCGGATCAAAGAGCCGCCCTTCTCTGCGTTCAGATCCTATCTGCACCCGCCCAGCGGGTCGCCTCGGCCCCCCACTTCGGGGCTGGAGTGCCCATTTTTCCTCCCTTCCTGGTGCTGCGGGTGGGGTGGGGGCTGGGGGCTTTTGGGCACTAGTACTCCGTTTGTGATGGAGATGTGTGAAGACCCTGCCTATTAGTTTTCCCCAGACTCCTTTTTTGGGTGTGAGCTGTCTCATCCCCGAGAGAGGGAGAGAGACAGAGAGAGAGAGAGAGAGAAAGAGAGAGAGAGAGAGAAAGTGTGTGTGTGTGTGTGTGTGTGTGTGTGTGTGTGTGTGTGAGAGAGAGAGAGAGAGAGAGAGAGAGTGTGTGTGTGTGTGTTAGGGGCGGGGTTGTTTCAGCCTAACTCAGCCCAGTTGGGAGGGAAGAAGGTACTGGAGGAGGGGATCGAAGCTTCCGCCACCTCCTCTGCCCCTGAGGTTGCTGGGTCTGGCCTTTGACTGAGCCTCCTCTGGAGAGTGAATGGGAATATAAATCCGCCTAACCCAAAAGCTTTGGAGGTCTTCCTCTGTTTTCCGGCGGCCCCAGTTTAGCAGGAGCCTACTCTGGCACAAAGGCCCGCAAACCCGGTGGACATAGGCCAGGGGTGGGGGGGGTTGAAGATTTCTCCATGGAGAAGGGAGAGAAGTCAGGGCAACAGTGAAGTGGCTGGTTTGTTTTTCCCAATAAGGCTAAATTTTTTTTCAGCTTAAAGTATTAACCTTTAGTCAGAGCTTATGAGCTTTCTGTTCTGTTGGTGTGAAAACAACCTTTCTTTACTAAAATGATGGTAAGAATTGATTTTTAACATATTTTTATTTACCAGAAAAAAAATTTGACCACTCTCTATTCCCTCTCCCACCCCAAATTTCTTTAGACATTTTATGGGGCTGTGAAATCCCACCGTCTGGGAACTGCTGTCCTATGGGGTGATGGCTCCAACTCTTGCTCTGCTGGATGGAACAAGGGACGGGGTAGGTGAGTAGGGAGAACAAGGTGTGAGATGGGGTAGGGTAGGGGGAGAGAGAGACTGATTCTCAGACTTCCACAGCCACACTGGAATCAGCCTGAAGGTGTACTGAGGGAGCTTCTATCCTGTACCTAACCCTGGACTCAGGCTGTGGGGAAGGGAGGGGCCAAGGAGGGGACCTGCCCTCCAGGAGGCATTGACTGCTAGAGAAGCTGAGAAATTACTAGAGCTGAGTTTGTTACTTCATTAATCTATACAGATAATGGGCAGAAGGAGCTCAGATACGGGGAGATCAATGTGGCTGGACTGGTCAGACTTTCTTCCTGAAGGAGATGGACACACTTCATCTGGGCCTGGAAAGCTCTGTAAGGCTTAGGGAAAGAGAGAGAAAAAGATATTCAGGCTTGTCCCCATAAGACAGATCCACCTGTGCAGCAGCCCCTTGTCTGGTCAGCACTGATTCCAGCGTCATCATCCACACAGAGATGTCATAGTACTGACTGATTACTATGTGCCAGGCATCAGGTCAAGAGCTTCACACACATTATCTCATTTAATCACCATACCAATTCTATAACATAGGGACAGTTATCTGCATTTATGGATGAGGAAACTTAGCCTCAGAGAGGTTAAGTAAGTTATCCCAGGTCTCACAGCTTAGAAGTAAGAATATTAGTATTCTGAACCCTGGCAATCTAACTTCTGAGCGCCCCTAACTACCACATTCTAGTGTTTCATTATGACTTCTAAAATTCCAGAGTGTGTCCTTATCTGCTTTGTGATCTTTGAAGACAAATTGGGATGAATGAGCTGTCACTGGGGACTTCCCCAGTGGCTAAGACTCTACGCTCCCAATGTGGGGGCCTGGGTTTGATCCCTGATTAGGAAGCTAGATCCCACATGATACAAGTAAGGGTTTGCATGTCTCAGCTAAATATTGAAGATTTTGTGCTACAACTGACTTGGCACAGCCAAATAAATTAAAAAAAAAAAACTGTCATTAATAGAATCTCAGCTTTCTGGGTGGCTCATGTTGCATACAGGGGCCATCCAGAGGATTGGGGAAACTTCCTGACTGGTCTGTATAGAGTAGCTCAAGCCATTTGCTGGCTGAAAGGGCCCAACCAATCTCATCTCCCTTGAGTCAGATGGACTTTGGCATGTACCATCTCTCCCATGGATATACCATCTCTCATCCCACTCTAGACACCTGCTCTGGGCACTGACTCAGATCCCAAACAGAGATAGTAGACTCTGGGGTGTTTCTACGGAGTGGTGAATAGAATCTGTGGCTGCTCCCCTGAAGGTGACCAGGGAGTTTGGGGACCAAGGCCAGCTGCAGGGAGGCCCCAGAATCTTCTGGGTTCATGCAGCCCAGGATTTTAATGAGGCTTCATCTTCATGCTAATGAACCTGGTGGACTGTGCTGTCATCAGAATCTGAATGCAGGACAAAGTCAGAGGTCTTAAGAGTTGAGGGATGGAACAAAAGAGCTCTGGGTTTGGGTTTATACAAACCTGGTTTCTATCCCTGCCCTGTCATTTGTTAGCTGGGGAACCCCAGACAAATCACGGACCCTCTCTGAGCCTCAGCTTCCTCATGGGTAAAATGGGTATCACCCTAAGCCTGCCTTGCTCTGTGAGGTTGAGATGACTCATGTTTCCTAGGAAAGAGCTTAGCATGACACCCAGCACATTCCAAGCGCTCTAATAAATGGGTGCTCTTGAGCTAGATATTTTTCGGAAGTTGTTAGGCTAATTGGCTCTTCATGTAACGTCATGTAAATCATCTAAATGTTCTCATGGTCTGAGCCCACTTAATCACAACTATAAGGCTGAAAATATACATTTCCTTTCCTTTTCTTTCAAGTTCCTTTAACATGAAAAGATCACATGAACTCTCTGACCTTTTCTAACAGGGAGACCCTTGAGATGTGGCGTTTCCAGAAAAAAGCTCAAAGGAGCCCCAGATGGATTTGGTAAATTACAATGAGGAGAGGTTCAGAGTGGGTCTCTTCCTGCCCGCCAGCCGCCTGGCATCCTGTTAGGGCTTGCTGAACACTGCCTGAAGGCTGGGCTGCTGGCTCCAGGCAGGATCTCTTCCTGTGAGGCTTTCTTTCTCAGGGCAAAGCCTGGTCACACGTCCTAGAGGCAGACTGTGGTTTGTTACTAGAAACACAGTTTGCTCTCTGAAAACTCTGTGTAGTTTCACTGCATGTCTGTGCATGTATGTCTGCGTGTGTACATGTGGGAGGTTGTGGCCTGCAGAATGGTAAAGACACACCGTTGCTGGAGGCAACAGCTCTGGCAGCTGCCTTTAAAATAAAGCAAGAGGGGACTTCCCTGGCGATCCAGTGGCTAAGACTCCTCTTTCCCAATTCAGGGGCTCTGGGTTCAATTTCCTGATCAAGGAACTAGATCTGGCCTGCCACAACTAAAAGATGCTGTGTGCCGCAACTAAGACCTGGTACAGCAAAATAAAAAAATAAAAATAAGTAAATGTTTAGAAAATAATAATAAAATGAAGCAAGAGGGTCTGTTTTATAATCTTCTGTGTGTTCTCCCCTAGACTGCTCCCCTCATGAATGGAATAACCAAGAATTACTTCTTCTCGTTTTTTTTTTTTTTTTTTTTTTTTGACATTTTTTTGCTTAGCAAAGTCATAATCCTGGTTNAATATTTATTTATTTGGCTGTGCTGGGTCTTAGTTGCCGCATGTGGGATCTAGTTCCCTGACCAGGGATCAAACCCAGGACCCCTGCACTGGGAACTCAGAGTCTTAGCCACTGGACCACCAGGGAAGTCTAAGAATTACTTTTAAAGTAGAAATTTAATAACGAATCTCCATGTTAACTTTCCCTGATGATAACCCAAGAAAGTTTGACCAAACTGGCTTGAGGGGCTGTGGTGGTGAGAGTATAAAGAGAGCTGCCCGACAAGTTCCTCCGAGGGCTCCTAGGACAATTTCCCAGGACTAATTTACCACATATGGGCCAGCTATTGTTCCCAGTGAATGCAGCTGGAATTCGTTCACCCACCCACCTGCAGGAATAAATAGCCCCGGGTTTCCACTTGAAGGGGTCTGCAGTCACAGGCACTAAGGTGTCAGCAGCAAAGGCAAGCTGGGAGTGGCTGCTGTGTGCCACCAGGATGCCCTGGTCTCTGAAGAGCTCAGTGGCAGGTAGCTGGGTCCCAAAGCCTGCTTCACCACTGGACTGCTCGGTGAACTGCCTTCTCCAGGCCCAGGACTCCTCACCTAGTTTCAGGGATTCAGTAAGGAGCCTCTGGCGATGAGTCCAGAGGTGAGAGACAAGAGGCACCAGAAATGCCACAGGAAGTGGGCCCAGGGTCCATGGAAGATGCACCTTCAGCTTCACAGGGGAGTGTGTCCATATTCGCTTCTGTCTGGGGTGTGGGAACAACCCTGGACACACTGACATATGAATGTGTTACTAGGGAAGTACCATTTGAGTCTCTTTTTGAGACAGGGATGTCAAGGCTTTGCTGCTGGTCACTAGGGTCTGACACAGAGCTGGCCAACTGCAATGCTCAGAAATTTGTAGATGGATGACTTACTTGCTGGATGGATGTATGAGCAGATGGATAGATGGATGGGTGAATCATTCACAGTGGTGATCACTTAGAATTCAGGGAGAAAGTAGCAAGCCCAGTACCTGCTTTCAAGGAACCTGTCATCTTGTGGGGGACATCAAGGCAATAGAGTTCCCAGGAGTCAGGCGTTTGGAAACATGACTGTTGTATACATGGCATGGTAGACAGGGAGGGCTTCCTGGAGGAAGAAGGTCAGTCCAGGAGGCAAGTTGAATTTAGGAGGCGGGACAGTAGCCCACACTCTGGGTTGTGATGAAGTTTGACCCCACAGTGTCTCTGGGGCCTAGGTGAGCCAGGATCTCGGGGGAGAGTTTGGTTATCTGTTGAGCCTTGCCCAGCATGGTACATCTTCATGGCCTAGTTCCTGCAGTCCTCTCTAGAGCCCCCTCATCCCTCCCCTCCACTAACTGGAACAATTTCTCCCAAGAACCCCATCTCCAGACACTGGCTCTCCCTGTTTGCCCCCCTCCTAGGACAGACTACCTCCTGGGTGCACAATCCACCATCTTTCCAGGCTTTCCTGGCTCAGTGCCCCGTGTAGAATACCCCCTCTTTTCCAGCAGCTAGAAGTAGGGGTGGAGAAACAGGACATGGAAGGCAGGGAGGATTAAAGCGGATATTTACCAGATTCTGGAGCCACTGCCAGTAAAGATTCTGAGAAGTCCTGCACCAGAGAACTCCTGTCTAGCCCCCTTTGGTTAAGTGCCTTCCAAGTTTATTTGACCATAAAACTATTTTTCCACATATGTATGATTTTCCAAAGAACATGGCTCCCCTGAAAGTCTTTTGGGGAAAGCTCATATCTCTGGTTTCAGGAGGCAGGGATGGGCACTCCTTATCCAAAACACATTCCAATTTTGTCCCTGATATGGAGGCAGTTAGCAACACTTGCACCCCAAACTGGTATTCACAGCTTTAACCAGTCTTCCCTCGAGCCCTACTAGGTTCTTGGCTTCTTGGGATCACAGACTTTCATCTGTGTCCTTGCTGAGCACTAACATGGACCAAGCATACTGTGGCATTTAATAAACGCCTGCTGACCATAGGATGGGGCTGTTGTGTAAAAGTCCAATCCAGCTCGGTTCCTCAAACTCCCAGTGGCTATTTCCTTTGGTTTGTTAGCATCTGAAAGGCTGTGTTTTTTCAAAGCTCATCTCTGGTCTCTCCCTCATCCAGGAAGCCTTCTCGGCTACTTGGCTCCACAGGGATCTCTCTCCCCTCCAAAAGTAAGATTCTCATTGCTTTCAGAATTTGAGCCCCTCAACTGCTCATGAGCTGTTCGGTCTCTGTTTCCTGTGAATGAGTCCTCCTGACCTTTGACTACAGCCTGCATTGTCTGGTGATCAAGAGTGGGGCTTAGAGCTCACAGCCTGTGTGTGAACTTAGGGCTTCTCCGCCTACGCACTGCGGGAGGGACCTTGGGCGGTCACCTCCTCCTAGGAGCCTTTGGTTCCTTATCTGTTAAGAGGGAGCTTTAATAGTATAGTCTGGGACTTCCCTGGTGGTCCAATGGCTAAGACTCTGTGCTTCTAGTACAGGGGGCCGGGGTTTTGATCCCTGGTCGGGTAGGGAACTGGTTCCTACCTGTTGCAAGTAAGAGTTTGCTAGCTGCAACTAAGACCCCGTGAAGCTAAATAAATACATAAAAATTTAAAAATATTTAAAATAATAATATTATCTCAAGAGCTGGGAAGATGAGTTCCTGCTTGTAAAGTCCTTGGCACAGCATCAAGTGTGGAGTAGGTTTTTGCTAAGTGGCGACCAGTTTCAATTATTATTGTTGCTCCCAAACAGCAGGGCTGCGCTCAGGCCCAGCTCTTTGAAGTGCTTCACAGAGGCTATCCTGGCCAGCCTGCAGTCCTGCTAGTAACAGGTGGGCAGTGGGGACCAGAGTGGGAAAGGCACCAGGAACCCTATCTTCCAAGGCCAGGCCGAGGCAACTGAGTGTTCAGCCTGAGTGGGAACTCCTCGTGCCAAGAGATGGACATTTCCAGATGTCTGCAGGCTGGAGGGAGCCAGCTGGCCTGTGGGGCCCAAGGGCAGAGACAGGACTAATGGAAGGAAATTACACGGAGAGATTTCATCTCGGCTTGAGGAAGCACGTCTACAGGCAGAGCTGGCCAACCGTGGCCTGCCCAGGCCACCAGCAAGAGGCAGCGAGCTCCCTGTCACCAGAGGTGTGTGAGCAGAGGCTGGGGGCTTCCAAGGGAGGGAAGCCGCTGAGCAGGTTTCTACCCCTGAGGCCCCTCCAAAGTTGTGGACAATCCCTTGTACTCCCTGAGCCCTTGCTGGCTCAGCTGAGTCCACAGCAGGTATCTAAGAGTGAGGACAAAAGCGTGGATACCTCTGGCTCTAACCTGGGCCTGGAGGCTGGAGAGGAGAGCGTATTGCTCTAAGAGGCTGATCTCAAGGGGGTTAATAACCACCGTGTCACCTTCCTGAGGTAGCAACTTGGTGTAGCCACTGACATAATGGAGCCTGTTCGATGCCTAGGCACACATCTTAGGCCTGCTGGGGTCAGGGGGGACAGAGATTGGTGGTGGGAGGGGGCTTATTCTTGAATCAGCCTCCCCCAGCTTCTAAAACTAGGGGCTGAGGAGAAAGATGGGAAAGAGCAGGAGAGGAGAGAGCCTGGGTTTCAATATCAGTTCTGCCACTTGGTAGCTGTGTGACTTTGGACAAGTCACTTAACGTCTCTGTGCTCCAGTTTGCTCTGTAAGACAAAAAGACAATAACACTGACTTCATTGGGTTCTTGTGACGATTAAGTGAGTGTTTACTTGTAGTCCATAGTAAGTGCCATGCAAATATTTGTTAAATAGATAAAAATTAACTGATAAACTCATCTACGCCTAGCCTAGTACCATGCAAGTTTTTTTGTTTTTTTTTTTAAGGTAGCAGTGACTTCTTATTTTATTTACTTGGCCACACCCTGCAGCATGCAGGATCTTAGTTACCCAACCAGGGATTGAACCTATGCCCCCTGCACTTGTGGCTTCTTAACCACTGGACCGCCAGGGAAGTCCCCAAGGGTATTTATATCATTCACTTTGTTTAGTCTCCACAACAACCTAATGAGGTTGAAACTACTATTATTAGGGAAAGTGAATCTGAGAAAGTCAAGTTCCTTGCCCAAGGTCCCACTGCTGGTGGGAGGCACAGTGAAGGTTTAAATTTAGGAGGGTCTGACTCTCAGTCCCCCACAGGTCTGCAGCCTCTCTAGGGAGGTGGAGTGCCAGCGAGAGCAGGGTGACAACAGATGACTTGGCAGGAAGGGGTCAGAGGTGTCCCCCCACCCCCATCCACCTTGCTCAGGCGGGAAGCCCCCTCTCGTGGCTGCTGCCTGGGAGAGATTTATCTGACTAATTTGTGGAAACATTGCTGGGTGACTTTGATGACAAATTACAACCTTGCTTCCTTCAGCTGAGTAATCTCCATGGTGGGTGGAGGGGATGGTCTTGGAAGTAGCCGGAGTTCTGGGCTGGCAGTGTTTGCCTCGGGGGTGACATTGCCAAGGGAGCCGTGCCACCCCAGAAAGCTCCGGGGGCAAGGCACAGAAGCTGGACAAGAACACAGCCTCTCTGGGTGGTGTAGGGCTATGCGCCCAGGGTGGCCTCCTCACTCCCACTTTCTCTTCTGTCCCAGCTGGACTCCTCTCTTGCTCATGACTGTGTGCCCCGGGCAGAGCCAGGGCCTGGCAGAGAGCTGAAGTCCAATAAATACGTGTTGGATTCCAGAATATCTCCAGACATGGTACTTCACTGTTTATGAAACTCCTTCCCCTCTATTATCTCATCTGATCCTTACAACAACCCTGAGAGGTAGGTCTTTTAACCCCATTTTACAGATGAGGAAACTGCGGCTCAGAGAGAGGAAGTGACTCGCCCAAGGTCACACAGCTCAAACCCCGTCTCTGAGGCTCTTAAATTAACTGTAGCTCTGTAGCCCACAGAGATGTTTCTCCTGTCCTTGTGTGACAACAATGGGAGGACACAGGGAACCCCTCATGGATGGAGGCCCCCGTGGCTTCCTTCGGCGCAGAAGTCCTCCTCAGAGATGGTCAGGGAAGCTGTTCTTATTTGTCTACTGGGGCACGGAGCCCCTCTGGGGCTTCAGACTGGGGAGTGGGGGCTCTAGCGTGCCAAGTTCTTTCCCAGCCTCTCCTGGGCGTCAGACGGACAGGTTCAGGCCCTCAGAAGCTGAGGGAGTTTTGTCCCGGCCGTCGGCCCAGAGGCCAGCCTCCATTCTGCCGCGGTGAAAGTTCCTCACTTCACCTCTGGGTCGCGGGTGGGCCGCTGCTGACTACTGCGGTTTTCTTTGTCAGCTCTGCTGTTTTTACTTTTTGTTCACTGCTCCATTAGTACTGATATTTTAAAGGGTTTCCCCTTCTGGTCAAGCTCTGCCTTTTGTTTTTGTAATTTGGGAGCTACTCTCCTCTTTTCTTTCTTCTCTCAGCCTGGTTTTGGAAGATGCTGAAGCAGGAGGTGGGTGGGAGGCAGTGTAAAAGCATCATCCCCCGGCATCCTTCCTCTCCGTGACCAGGCCCCCAGCAGGCCCGAGGAGCCTCCCTGGTGGACCCACTCTGAGGGCAGCACTCAGGGTAGAAGGCACCCCTTTGAACTAGGAATTCTTTTTCTTATTCTAAGTGGGGCTTTGGTTCTTTGAGCCCTGCCCATACAAGCCCCCTTGGTGCCATGACCCCACCCCTTCTCCTTCTTTTCAATATTCTCCCCCTACTCAAGGCTGCCCCCACTGCTAGGGGAAGCTTCTAGCACAGATAACAGCATTGACCATAAACAAGCCACCTTACTTCTTAGCGTCTGTAGTGCCTGGGAAAATAGCCCATGGCAGATTCTGATGAGATGAGGGTTGGGAAAAAGTTTTTGTGGGGCCCCTCTGTGCATCCTGATTCATTGCAGGACTAGATCTAGGCCAAAATCTCCCCTTCTGAAATTTGCAGCCCTCTCCCTGGGGTGGGGGTTTCTGTAGCTGCAATTTGGGCCGTGGCCACTGGCCCATTGCAGTGGACTCAGGGCCTTAGGCAGGGGCTGCGATGGCCCTTCTATCCTGACTGTGGGGCTACTGCTTGGCAGTTGGTATTTGGGAGGGCAGGACTGCAGAGCTCTCAGAGATTAACTTGAATTCCTTCCTCCTCCACCTTGGAGCCAGAGAAACGCTCCTGGCTTTCTGCTCAGCCCTGTACCCAGAACCCCCAACTGAAGGGACAGAGCTGAAGGCTTTTTGCCTCAGCTCTTCCTCCTCCAAAATAGTACAGTCGAGACCTGGCTGATTCTCAAACTACTTGCTTTTGTGACTGAGCTCTAACTTTTCGTTTTATGTTCAAAGATGAGATTCAGATCTACAGGGGAAAGTACTTCATACCCCTTTGGTGGCTGAGTCCTGTACCTGGGACAGACCCACGGCACACCAGGGTGGGAAATGCTGAGCTGGCCTTTCCTTTACACCCACAGAAATTCCCGAAGGTGCCTGGGGTACCAGCTCACAGGCTGGTCGGGGAGCTGAGCCATGATGCTTGCATTGGGAGGAAAGGCCTCTCTTCCCGACTGCTGGTGCCAGAGACCCCAAAGAATGGGGGCTCTCCGGTGGGAAGTTAGAGGGTTCTGCTACATGGACAAGAGCCTGGTGTAGCTCCAGGCCCCCAAATGGCAGGGTCTAGCTGTGTTGGCCTCAGAGGGAGGAGAGCAGTGAGGACCAGAGGGGTAAGGGAGGGTCCCCGGTGGAGGGGCCAGAGCTGCACTGGAGGGCATGTGGGATGGGAGGCCGGAAGGCCAGCCCTAAGCACCAAGGAAAGCCAGCTGGTTAAAGCTCAGAGACACCCAGGAGATGGCCAGGACCCCCCAGTTGTGCAGACAGGGGAAAGTGAGGCCCAGAGAGGAGGTCTCACAGGCCATTGGAACTCCTTTGTTTATTCCATTGCCCAGAGAATTCAGGAGCCCCTTACTCCAAGTTCAGGACATTGTAACATGCAGCAAAGTAAACAAAATTCAAAGCAAACCTTTAGGACACTGAGCAAGAACGGCTTTTGTAATAAAAAATTAACCACTGAATGTTATTTTTTTAAAAGTGCAGGTGGAAATAAACACTTTGAGGGTCGGGTGGGGCTTGGGAGCTTGCAGCATAATACTCAGTTCACACCCTCACTGCCCTGGCCCAGGGTGACCAGCCTGGAAGGCTGGCTCCTTCCACAGCCTCGTCCCTACCCATCTTGGGGAGGCCTGAACTTGCTGGGGAGCAGCCGGGTCTGCGTACAGCGCCCCCTGGTGGCTGTCTCTGGAAGAGGCTGTGTGTGAAGGACAGTTCCGTTCAGTTCAGTCGCTACCCCATGGACTGCAGCACGCCAGGCCTCCCTGTCCATCACCAACTCCGGAGTCTACCCAAACTCATGTCCATTGAATTGGTGATGCCATCCAACCATCTCATCCTCTGTCGTCCCCTTCTCCTCCCACCCTCAATCTTTCCCAGCATCAGGGTCTTTTCAAATGAGTCTGCTCTTCACACCGGGTGGCCAAAGTATTGGACAGGGGTGGGAATTAAGGGAGTTGGTCCCTGCCTCCCTCCTCAGCGGCTCACACTGAGTACTAGGGGACAGGTGCTCGATCTCACTGGCAGAATCCCCTCCCTCAGCTAACCAGGAGCTGTGACAGCGTTCTCACCTAGGCTCTGGAGCAGCCAGATGTGCAGATTCAACTGAGCCAGAGAGTCTTCTGGAACACGACTGCTCCCACGGAACCCAGCAGGCCAGGCCAACTGCAGGAGAGCCTGGAAGCCTCCTGTTGCTCCCGAGCCTCCGTCTGAGCCTCAGCTTCAGTGTTGCTGACAGACCTGTGGTGCACAGCTGGCGACCGCCCCGCAGTGAGGGCTGTCCTGAGAGTGACCTGGGCCAGGAGGCCCGGCTCCGCCCCTGCTCAGCTGCTCAGGCTGGCAGGACGATAACAATAAAGCGGTAGCAATGTTCCTTGGCCTTCACCGAGTGCCTCCTGGGGGCCAGCGCAGCCAAAGCCTCACAACAGCTCCAGGAGGCAGGTAGGGTTTTTCTTTTACCTTAAAGGTAGAGGTGAATTCACATGTGTCCCATCACCCCAGTTTCACAGTTGTCAAGGTTTACCACCAGTGTTTCCCTTTTCTTTCCTCCCTTCATTCCTCCTTCCCTTCCTTTTCTTTCTTTCTGTCTTTTAAATATTTAAAGCAAATCCCATATATCATGTCATCTCACTCTAGCATGTGTTAGTATGTATTTCTAAAAACTTGGACTTTTAAAATATTTAGTTAATTAATTTGGCTGCATCAGGTCTTAGATGCGGCATGTAGGATCTAGTTCCCTGACCAGGGAGCGAACCTGGGCCCCCTGCATTGGGAGCATGGAGTCTCAGCCACTGGATCACCAGGGAAGTCCTTGGACATTTTCTTAATAACTGCAAAGCCATTATCACATTTAAAAAAGTGAGTAATAATTCCTTGATGTTATCTAATACCTAGCCTGTGAAGCAGGTACTCTCATTGTCCCCATTTTTTTTTTTTTTTTTTAGGGGAAAGCGTGAGCGCAGTCCCCCACTACCACAAATTATGCAGTCGAGTTTCCCACATTTGGGGAAATCGCAGGGGTCAGCACATCCGGAGTGCAATGGATAAGCCTCGCCCTGGGAAAACCACCTTCGTGATCATGGTATCTCCCCTTCCAGGTAAGTATTGTCCCCATTTTAAAGATGAGGAAGCAGAGGTTCTGAGAGGACCAGTAACTTGACTACATGTTACACAGCTTGTTAGTGGTGGGGATGGGATCTGAACCCACAGAGTCTGACTCGGGAGCCCACCCACTAAACCATTCTTTCTGATTCCCCAATTTCCCTCTCTGTAAAATGAGGACTACTTCACAGGATAATGTATGTATGTACCATGTTATTCTTACTTCTAACAATAACAATGAAAATATTAATGAAGTAAAACAATCAGAAGAATTAATATGATGTTGATATGACAGCAAAAAAATATGATAGTTAAAGGAAATTAAGGTTTGCTTCTTCCTCACTCATCTCTCAGCTTATGCTTATCTCATATAATCTTTAACCCAATCCTATGTTTCCTGATTAGCAGCTTCATTCTACAAGTGAGGGAACTAGAGGCGCAGAGGCAGGAAGGGCCTTTCCAAGGTCAGGATACTGGTAGCTGACAGGAGCAGGATTTGGAGCCAGGCTGGTCTCTCGGGGATGGCAGACATCCCTGGGGTGTGTCAGTGAAGATGACCTTTACTGAGGGCTCCAGGTCATTCTGCTATCACAGGGAATGTGTCAGCTGGGATTACTACTAGCAAGCAACAGAAATCAGCTTTGGGAATTTGGGGCACAATAGAAGTTGTAAGGATTGTAAGGGTATGGGAGGCTCACAGAATGGACTGGAAGGAGACAGCCAGGCAGCCAGGCTGGAAAAAGATGAATGTGAAGTCACCCTAGGGCCTGGAAGGCAGCAACTACTCAGAGGTCTCAACTGGCATCCCCCCTGCCGCCACCACCGCCAGCTGCCAATACACACCCTGGGATAAATCCACTTCTGCCTATTTCTGTGCTTCCACCCAGAGACCCAGGAAAGAGCAGTCAAGGAACCCAGCCTGGAGGCACAGCCGCTGCCCATCATGGCTGGGAAAGCACGGCACTTTCCTGGAGGGTTCCAGAGTGCTGGGCGGTGCCAGGGCTTTTTAAAGGAGTGAAACGAGGGAGCTGGAGGGGATTCCCCAGAGAAGACTCTGCCGGCTCTGGTTTTCACACTGTAATTTTGCTTTTAGTGCTTGGTGTGTGAGTCACATGTGAAAGTCTCTTGTTTTTTGAGGCCTGTGTCTGCTGCTGCTACCACCTTCAGAGCAGCTGCCACCTCTAGGTAGGAGGCCCAGTTCTTGGGCAGGATCCCCCGTCTGCCACCGTGTGCTCCAGATATGGGAGCGCAGCGTTAGGGACTATCATCGTGGGGCCCACTGTTGGGGAGGGATTTTCCATCCTTTGCATCACAGGCAAAATGGATGCTAATGTTATGCAAATGAGTGTATGCCCTCACCACCCAGCTGGGTAAGATGTGAAGGGAGGGGACTTGGCTCTGGTTGGCTTATGCCCTCCAGAAGATGCTCGCTTGCCCCAGCTTGCCCCCAGGGAGAGCCTTGGCTTTGGGCAAATTTGCTGACACCACCTTCTCCTAGAAATGTGCCGGGGCACTGCTAGAGTCTGTACCCCTGGGCACTTAGTACTTCCTGAGGGGCCTCAAATCCTTGTGAGAAGTAGGTAGGGCATAAAATCTACATGAATAAACAACAGGCATCCTGCTGCTGCCATTTGCTCCACCTGTGGTCCATGCACAGGGCTGGACACAAGGCCTGCTGGATTGGCCCAGGGCCACAGGAGCTGCGCTGTACCAGCAAGGCCTGGGAGACATGGGGCAGCCCCCTCCCCCTGGGCCTAAGCCCTGGGCCTGGACAGTGGCTTCTCGTGAGGCGAGGGAGGCAGTTGGGAAAGGCTGACTCCAGGCAGGGGGTATGAGGGCTGTTTAACAGCTGGCAGAAGCCTGGAAACTTCCTAGACATGATACCCTGCTCTCTGCAGGCTGCAACAGGTAGTTTAGATGAGAAGACAAGCCAGTGGGGTAAGTGGAGAGGAAGGGAGAGAGAGGGACCCCTGTGGGTCTTCAGGGCCCTGAGAGATAGGAGGGCTTTAACTTCTGGGAACTTAAAGGGCCGACCCCATCGAGGGGCAATTCTATGGTGGTCAGAGGGCAAGCCAGAACAGTCCCCTAAACCAAGCCCAGCCAAATGCTGACTGGTCCAAATTACAGTCTCCCCAAAAGCCCTACTTCTAAGAGTCTGTCCTCAGCCTGAAGCACTCCAGGCTCTGGTCTGATAAATTTCAATGAATTCTATCTTTTCTGCCTGTCTGTTTACTTTCTCTCCTCCTCCTCCTCCTTTCCTTTCCCTCTCATGCCTTTTCTTCATGAGGTTCCATTATTCCTCGGCCTCAGAATTTTATCTCCACTGGGGCAGCCCTGGAGGGTTTCACCTTCCTGCTCATCATAGTGTAGGATCTGAGTCTGGAATCCAGCCTGGCTTGCTTGCTGCTCCTGAATATACATAGACCCCAGACTCACAGGCCCTCAAACCCAACTTGGAATCCAGTGCATCCCGCCTGGATTGCTCTCATTATGGACCCAGACTTGGCCCGTTTGGACTTGGCTCCCTTGCCAGTGCCTCAGTCTGTCTGGGTGAGCCTTCAGGCATGGTCACCAAGGTTTGAACCCTCTACTTATGCAGCTGCAGATAGTTTCAAGGATGAGGTTGGGCTGAGCAAATTCAAGAAGCCTCTGATGCCTAGGGCTAAGGATCTTCATGTGATGGAGATGGGGCTGGTGGTCAGGGCCACACAGGGGATCATCACCTGTCCAGGCACAGAGGATTGGAGGGTCAAAGGGGAGCAGTGTCAGAAGCTGGCAGAAGACTGTCCAATAAAAGAAATCCTTGTGTTGGCAAGACCTGTCCGACTTGTCCCCATGAGGGTACCAGTAAGAGGGTACCAGTGGGAAATTCCCCAGGAACCTGAGCCCCAGTTGCACAGAAATTAGACAATTACCTCCTTGATGGTTGTGACCTTCAAACACACACGGCTGCTCCTGTCCCCCTACCACCCAGAGGGGCACCCACTCACCAGCAGCCCCTTCACCATAGATGGGGGTGTGTAGAGTGGCAGAAAACAAGCACCCTTGAGTCACTGGCATGACCTCTCCCCGGTGACACAAGGGGGCTGTGGGTTCCTGAAAGAGGCGGCTTCCCTATGCCTGTGCCCAGCTGCCACTGGAAACACTCCCTCACCATGTCATCATCTGGAGATTTATTGAAGGTTTTGTGTTGTGGCTGTTCTGGGTGAAGCTCTGATCTTAAAAGCCTTTTTCTCTGCCTGGACCCTCAGCAAGTTGCCCTAGAGATACTTTAGAGGCAAAACCAGAGCTAATGAGCCTGGCTGTGCCTTTGTGATCTGGAATGTTTTCCATTCTGAGCCCTTAACATATAATTAAAGATTACTTAGCATGGACTTTTTCTTTTATCATAAATTAATTTCAAAACCAAGTTCTGAGGTTAAATAATGATTGTATTTGTTAATCAATCCAAACTGGGTTTCCTTCCAGAAGAAAACCGGATGTCATTGTTTAAATGTTGAGAATGGAATAATTGAGAATTTGGGGGTTTTGCTGATTGCAGTGATGTTAAGGGTCCTAACGGTGCTGATATGTGTCCATGTCTTTTTGTTAGACAGGGATGGGCTTTGTGAAGAGGTGAAACTGGAGATGCTGATAGGAATACGAGCTGGGAGCCATGAACCTCCAGCTATGTTTTGGGCCCAGGAAATTTACAGCTCCCTTGAAGGGGACTATCGGCTCCTTGACCAGGCCTCAGCTTGCCTGCTGGGGAGCCCATAGGTGTCTACACAAACTCGGAGAAATGGATAAGGAGGGCTTGCCACTCAAGCCATACGACAGGTGAAATCATCTTGCAGTATCTCATGGCGCCCTACCCCAGTCTCTCTGTTAGAGAGATTTCTGATGTTTTCCTCAGAGTTTTTCAGGCTTGGCACTATTGATATGTCAGCCAGATAGTTCTTTTTTGTTGAGTATTGTCCTGTGTGTTGTGGGATGTTCAGCAACATCACTGACCTCTACCCTCTAGATGCCAGGAGCACACACCCACCCACCCCTCCCCCACTGTCCAGACACCGAAAGTGTCTGCAAATGTTGCCGAGTGTCCCCTTCGGGACAGAATTATCCCCAGTTGAGAACTATGGAATTAAAATATAACACACGTTTATGGTAGAAAATGAGAGAAAAATGATCTATAATTCCAGTACCCAGAGTTAACCCCTTTTAAGGTTTTTTTGTTTGTTTGTTCATTTGCTTTTGGCTGAGCCATGTGGCATGAAGGATCTTGGTTCCCTGACTAGGAATGGGGCCCTGTCCCTTGCAGTGAAAGCTCGGTGTCTTAACCAATGCACCACCAGGGAAGTCCCCGTTTTAAGGTTGTGACGTTCTTCCTTCAGACTTTCTTTTTCATGGATGTATGAATTTTGGTTTTTTTTTTTTAACCCAAGGCCATATGGTTCACTGTTTTGTCGCTTGCCAAGCCATGAGCTGCACAGTGGATATTCCCCTTCGTCTCCAGATCTACTCTGCTGCACCTCTTTCCAAGCTCCATTGGCAGCATCCGTCTTCAGCAACGGTGAACTGGAGGGCCTGGAAGAGTGGTATGAAGCCCATCAGGATCACACTTTAAGCTTTCAGGGTCCGGGGGATTGATATGCTCATTCACCAAGAGGTGATGTGGGGACTGACCCCATGCACACCTAGGCACCATCTACCAACGAGTCACCCCAGACCCGTTCCTACCTGGCCCAGAGCCTGGTTGTGCTCTGTTGGGCTTGTGTTTTGATGGGTAGGCCTGGCGGAAAGCCCGCCTTACAAGGAGCAGGATGCAGGGTGCACCAAGGCAATCAGAAGCTGTTAGGTACCAGGCAGCAGGTGGAGGAGGGTTTTGAACTTGTGATGGATTGTGGCCCCTTTGAGCATCTGATGAAAGTAGAAGCCTTTCTCAGGAAAAATACCCACATCTGCCTGGTTCTGCATCTAAGTCCAGAGCCCACAGATTAGGAACTTCTGAGGGCAGTGGTTTTCCTGAGGACTTGTGATCACCTAGATGGACATATATTTCTCTCTTCTAGGAATATATGTCCAGGCCCAGGGCAGGCTGTGACCTCAGCCCTCCCCATTACACAGGGCAGAGTCTCCTTCATAGAACAGCAGTGTCGTTCCAGGCAACAGATGGATGGATGGATGGGTGGATGGATAGGTGCAGGCATTCATGGATCTGGAGAACTGGGACTAAGATATTGATTAAAGCTAGCATTTGCTGAGCCTGTATCATGAGCCAGGCTACTCACCTGGTGTGCTTGACTTCCAGTCCCATGGAAAGGAAGGTACCGTGATTATAAGTAAGTTGACATTTTCCTGAGCTGGAAACAGGCTGAGACTTGTCCAAGGACATGGAACTTTGGGAGTGGAAAGCCAGAATGTCCATGCTGTCAACCTTGATGATGTGTTGCATGTATGGAGGGCAAGATGGTGTTGCTGGAGCTGTGAAAGGTGAGTGTACCCTGACCCACTGGGAGTTTTGGCCCTGGGTTATCTTCCCAGCTTGGGGCTTCCCTAGGTGGGTCAGTGGTAAAGAATCTGCCTGCAGTGCAGGAGACCTGGGTTTGATCCCTGGGTCAGGAAGATCCTCTGGAGAAGGAAATGGCAACCTACTCCAGTATTCTTGCCTGGAGAATTCCATGGACAGAGGAGCCCGGTGGGCTAAGGTCCATGGGGTCAACTGAGCATGCATGCATATCTTCCCAGTAAGGATCACGTTTTATGCTTAGAAGCAGGAGGCAGAAGAGCGGGTGAGAGGGCTGGAGTGGAGGGAGGGGAATCAGCCTTTCGTGGGCATGGAGTTTGAGTGTGGAAAGATGAAAAAGTCTAGAACTCCATTGCAGAACAATGTTAATACACTTAACACTACTGAACTGTACACTTGAAAATGCTTAATATGGTAAAATTTATGTTATGCGATTTTTACCACAATAAGAAAACGCAGGGGAAAGAAGTCAGTTGTGGAAATCTGAATGCTGGAAGAAAAGAAAAGGAGAATAATACTTCCAGCTCTGGCCTTGCCTCTTTCCCGTAAAAGTGGGCAGCTCCCCACCCATTTCTCCATCTGAGCTCCTAGGGGCGGTCTCACCATGTTATCTGCAGGAGTCTAATGGGACCAGAGAGAAGCTAGCAGTTTGGGGGAAATCTGTGAGAGGGTGGCACTTGGACCAGCCTAGGGGCTGAGAAATGGAAAATGTGCACTCCAAGGGAGCTTTATTTTATTTTATTTTATTTATCTTTTGAAAAGATTACATAGGTAGTAGGACAAACTTCACAAAGTGCAGATACACAGTGAAAGTTGTCTCCTTTCTACCTCCTCCCCTCCCCCATCCCTTCCCAGAGATAGCCATTGCCACCACTTTCCTTTATATCTTTTCAGAAATAATCAACACTCCTACAAGTGTATTTGTAGGCAATTTTTTTTTTCTGCCATAAAAGCATATTAAATATATGGTCCTGCATTCTGGTTTTTTTCCACCTAACAATAGATCTTGGAGATTGCTTTGTGTTAGTATAGAGATGGCTCTTTGTCTACTTTAATAGCAGAATAGTATTCCACTATGTAAATGAATCATATTCAAATGGATTGGTCTCCTTGTGACCATCACTTGGGTTGTTTTGGATATTTGCGGTCATAAACAATGCTGCCGTGAATGATCTGGCACATTCACCATTTCACACATGGGCAAGTTATTTGCGGGCTGCTTCGCAGCTGTGGAAGTGCTGGGTGAAAGAGGATGTGCATTAGTGGCTGTGATGGCAATAACCAAGCACTGTTCCCTTGGGGTAGTTCCCACCCAGAAGAGTGCAGGCCCTCCACTGCCTCACCAACACTCAGCGTTATAAAATGTGTCAGTCTTTTTTGTTCTGATGGGAGAAAGATGGCATCCTGTTGTAGCTGTGTTTCTCTTATTATCTTCTCATATGTTTAAGAGCTGTTTTTTAAGTTTTTGTTACTTCTCTGTGTCCTTTGCCTGTTTTTCCTTTGGGTTGTTAGCCTTCTTACAACGAGTTTATTGGAGTGCTTTTTTTTAAATTTAAGAATTAAGGTTTTATTCTAATGAGAGTCCACCAAGATTTTAATCCAGGGAGTGACATGATTTAACTAGTGTTGTTTGAAGATCTTGTTATTATTATTATTTTTTGGCCACATGGCATCCCAACCAGGGATGATCAAACCGGCGTAGTGGAAGTGCAGAGTTTTAACCACTGGATCATCAGGGAAGTCCCTAGAGTGCTTCTTGACCTAAGGAGTGTGCCTGTGATTCACACGGCGGCTTTTTAGAGAAAGAGCCCGTGGGTTCTTGGCCTCTCCTTGCCCCACGTCTCATGCTAATGGCTTGGGTTGGGCTCCTGGAGGAACTGGCTGGGGCCAGACTCTGGGTTGAAGCAGTCTCCAGGAAAGCAGGAAGTGAACTCCCTGCCCTGCATTGCGGACAGTGAGGGCTCCCCTCAGGTCGTGCCCTCCCATCAGCCTGGCTCCATCTAGGGTTGCTGCATGTGGCCACCAAGCTTAGCCCGCCCAACGCTAGAAGGCATTGTTTATGTGGACTGTCATATGAATGGTGACCCCAGGAATTCTGAGACGTGGTGGCCCTATTGGTCCAAGAAGAACCAAGGGTGGGCGGCTAAACTGGTCTTTACTTTCCGGTTGTTGGGAAGGTCGTGTGACTTCCTAAGCACGCAGGACTGGGCAGGGCCAGTCCATAGCCAGGTGTGCATAGACCTACATGCAGGTAGGACAGGACAGTCATGTGCGGTGTCTGTGTTATCACAGGCTTGGCTTCCTTCAGAATCTATTAGCTCCCCAACGTAGCAAGCTGCCCTGGAGGGGAGTGCCCAGGGTCCCCTCCCCTTGAGGAAAGGCTCAGTCATCTCTGGGCAGCAGGGAAGAGGGCCCTCATCCCTACTCCCCCCAGAACTATGTGGGTACTGGCCCCTGCCCTGCATGTAGGCCTGTTTTCTCCTGTCCGGATCCAAGCTTTGAGCCTGATAGGAGGAACCCTGATGGGAGATCTGGAATGTTCCCTGCTGTCTGCTCTGGGAGGTCTGAAGACACTTCTGTCTGGAAGATCTGGTCGGGCCTTGTGAAAAGACATCACCAGCTACCTGGGCAATTATAGGTCTGTCGGACTTGGGCTGAGGTGGGATGCTCAGCTGGACCTGTCTCCCTGTGAGGGCACTGGATGCACAAGAAGGTTACCATGGAGACACTCTGGGAGCACCACTCACATGGGACCCCCGTGTCTGTGCTGGGGACATACACACATGCATGTGTGTCAGTCTTGTCCCCATGCGCATCTTGCTCATCACTGTTCAGTACCCCTGTTACGTGACAGTCCAACTTGATTAAAAGTAACAGGCAGCGATCTTGCCCACCCTTGGAAACAAATGGCATCCTTTGGGGCATTTGGAGTGGGTTCCATTGACATCTAAATTTGCAGGGCCACATCCAGTTCTATCAGGTGAGGAGCACCTGTGCGCCGATGACGCACGTGCATTCAGTTTGCCAAAGGCCAGGGCAGCTGCTGTTCCCAACTACAGCAGATCGCTGGTAGATTTACGAATCCATAAGCCACCTTTATTCCCTAGAAGGATGACTGAGCATTAGATTGAAAGAGACTTTTGCTGCAGGTGTCTTTGGCAAACCCTGGTCAAAACTTTTAGCCACATAAGGAAACTCCAGCCACTCTGCTGGTTCCTGAGAAGTTGTTGTTGTTCAGTCACCCAGTCATGTCCGACTATTTGCGACCCCATGAACTGCAGCACATCAGGCCTTCCTGTCCCTCACCATCTCCCAGAGTTTCCCCAAGTTCATATTCATTGCATCAGTGATGCTGTCCAGCCATCTCATCCTTTGATGCCCTCTTCTCCTGCCCTTGATCTTTCCCAGCGTCAGGGTCTTTTCCAATGAGTTGCCTGTTTGCATCAGATGACCAAAATACTGGAGCTTCAGCTTCAGCATCAGTCCTTTCAGTGAATATTCAGAGTTGATCTCCCTTATTGACTGGTTTGATCTCCTTGCTGTCCAAGGGACTTTCAGAGTCTTCTCTGGCACCACAGTTCAAAGACATCAATTCTTTTGCATTCTGCTTTCTTTACTGAGAAGTGCTAAGGGCCAAAAGCAAGAAAGACTTGGATGCAGATCTGTGGTAACCTTTGCCCCAGAAGTAAATTTACTGAACTAGGCAGCAATGCTGCAAGTATAGTATCTTTCTTCTGTCCTCGTGGGGGGCCAGTGGAGGTTGGTGGGGGGCACTGGCAGGAGTGGGAATATCTAGAACCAGAGAAACCTGCACATCTTCTAGATGAGGCAACAGATCCAGAATGATCAAGATGTTACCCTAGGTTTTAACAGCACGTGAGGGGCAAATCCAGGACCCCAGCCTTGGCCTTCCATGCCTGGCCCCCGTCCTGGAGCCCTCCCACACACAGCTCTCTCTCCAGAACAGAGAGCCAAGACGGTGACTCACAACCCACTTGGCAGTTTTGCTGATAAATTTTTTGTTTTGAAGCGAGAGGTTCTGCCTCTATTAAAGTCTTTAGGAAATTATAG